ACTTCCCACACAAGCCCCAGTGGCCTCACCCAGTGCCCTCCACTTTTCGGTAGGGGTTCTCCAACAAGTAGCGGAACCGCTGGTAGTTCTTAAGCAGGTACTTGGGAGCGTACATCTGCTCCTTGGGGTCAGCAGGAGGATACTCTTGTGTAGTACCATCAAACCAGCCACCAGTCCGGATCAGCTCCCGGATATAATTGAGGTCTCGTTTATCCTCGTAGTCACCCCAGCGGGGGAAGTCCCCATTCTGGGCCGACACCAGTTTGAAGTAGATCCCCTCTGGGGTGAAACACCAGGAGCAGTGCCAGCCAGCAAAGTGGAGGGGGCTGCCCAGTGACCACTGCACCAGGATGTGTCCAGTGCTGTTCTCGTACTGCCGAAAGCCAGGCATGGTGTAGTACTCGCGGCGCCGCAGACGGATCCCGTCGGTAGCATAGACAGCCTGGAGCATCCCCATGGTGCAGCCTGAGACCACCTCCAAGGTGCCTGGTTGCTTCCAGAAGAAGCCGTAGAGTGACTTGCGCATGTGAAAGGCAAAGGGCTCCGTCCAGCCGTCATAGAGCTTGAGGAAGAGCACGCCATCACGGGCTGGGATCTCATCGGCATCATCAATGATGAAGACATCATCTGGGCGCAGGTTGCGGAGGCGTGAGATTCCATCCCGGGTGAGAAAGGTGCGCAGGTAATCATCGGCAATCCAGCCATCCTGGCGGCCTCCGGGCGGGAAGTGGTCCAGGAAGACGTAGAGCACTTTGTGGCGGATGTAGTCGAAGGAGCCGTTGAGGAGCATCTCGCGGAACTTGAGGGGCCGTGGCTCTCCGTAGGCTGTGAAGTTTGACTCACACACCACAAAGGCGTCCACCACGTCTCCCAGCTCGTGGAAGCGGACGTCCAGCAGGTCAAACTCATGGTTGACATTGATAGCGTTGATGACACGCCGGGGGACTTCCCGCGGCACAAGGCGGTCCTTGGTGGGCAGGTTGGAGTACTGGACCACGGTGGGGACCCCGCAGCTGGGGCCGTGCCAGCCCGGCAAGCACACGCACTCTACCCACTTGCGCCGCTTGGTCCCACTGGCGCTCAGTGGCTTGCGAGCTGGCCGCCCCGAGGCCACGCCATCCGCTCGCTCCTCCGGCCGCCCTCCCATGGGTGGCTTCTCCAGCACCTTGGTGCCTGGTTTAAAGCAAATGCCGCCGGCTTTGGTACGGACAAAATACTCTGTTGTGTCTTCTGGCAGCACAAACTCGACTTTGTGCAGCTCTTCGCTGGCTCTGCTGGGTGACAGGGGCTGGAGCAAGGGGGAGTGTGAGTACAGGGGTGTGCGAAGGAACTCTGCGCCCCCCGGCTCAGGGCTGACCTGAGGTGTGACGGGGGCATTGTTCCAGAAGAAGCTGGAGACAAGGTTGGGACTAAGCGAAGCCAGCTCCCGGGGGAAGGTGACATAGGAAAGGGCCTTGAGGAAGTGCAAAAAGGAGATGAGGCAGAGACCAGCCATGCAGAGAGTCAGAAAGAGCTTATGGCGTCTCATCTTCATCCTGTGGAAAAGCCATGAAAAGGAAAGTCACGTTCAATAGTTACTGAGGTGCAAAAAGCTTACCACTGGTAGAAAGACAGGTTGGGGATGGCAGAAAGCTGGTCTAAATTCAGCAAGCACCTTTCAAGACCTGAATCCACTAATACTCCCCCCACCCCTGCCATCTTCAGTGGGCTTTTTGCCTTCGCTGTGTTACACCAAGCTGAACCTTTCAGAGGAGTCACAGTCCTAGAAATTCACAAAGACGAGGCACTGGTTGACAGCGTAGAAAAATGAGAAATCCACAATAACAGGAATTCATGATCTAGTGAACTCACCACAATTGGCAGATTTGTCCCTATTCATCAATGGAAACAAAATGAATGCAGGCCTCCTCAGACCCTGCATCACCAGGGCACTGGAGGAAGATGAAGAGACAGTAGAGAGCGGGAAGGACGAGACAGAGTAGAGGGTACACATGTGAAATGTCTTAAAGGACCGAGATCATTAGCCAGGCTGCCAGAACCAGGGAAACACCTACACTCCCCAAATTATTTCAGTGTTTGCTCAACACACGCCCTAAAACCCACACTTGTTCTGAGGAAATGCTACCCAGGTTCATGTGGGGGACAGGAAACAAAAATAAATAAGATTTTGTCATTCTTAGTCTTCTCTCATCCTTCTCAAGTCCAATGTATCCCCAAATGTTGCCCATTGATTTTTGTTTTTGTACCAGATGCTGAAGTTTTTTTGCATCTGGATCCAGGTGGCTAAAATAAACACCTAGCTGTCTCCACGGGTAATAGAATGCCATCATGACAGATCCACGTCAGGCCAGCAGTAAGCCAGCAGCGCGGAGCCCTTCCCTCCAAACATGACATATCGCCTTCATCCTCTCCCTACACCACCTCCCCTCCTCCAGCCCAGGCAGGGAGCGCAGAGCTGCTGTCAGGCAGAGAAGTGATTGAAGACTAGAATCTAGGAAAGGAAAAGAAAAAAATGAGAGAAAGAAAGAACTAAAAAGAAAGCTCACCCAGTGCTTCGCCAAGGAAAAGAAGAGGTGCTTGTCTGCTGCTCTTTAGGGAGGGGAAGGCTGGGGCAAAGGTGGGCAGGAGAACAAGATCACCCAAAGCCCTTTGCACTGCAGAGGTTGTCCTCTCTTCTCTGGAGCATGAAACCCTCTGTGCAGCAGCAAAGAGGCAGAGACCCTCTCCGAGTCCCACACATGCCACTGCACACCCTCTACAGCATGCTCTTCGCCCTGGCGCCATCCCCATTCCAGGACCAAAGTTCCTAAGAGGCACCACATGCCCCACGCCATCACTTACAAACCCTCCACTCAGCGCAGCAGTACCCGCGACATCTCTGCAGGAGTTGGTTCCCACTCCTGGGGACAGAGAGGAGCTGCTCCACACAGGGGCTGTCCTGCTCCCCTGTCCCAGGGCTCCTCATGGCTGACAGGTGTCCCCACGCAGGAGCAGGATGAGGAAGCACCTGGCCTGCTGCCACTGCTTCAGAGGGTATTAAGTAGAATACAGCAAAGTGCATTTACTGATTAACTTGGAGAGAATTTAATACTAAAGTGAAAAGCCATAAAGCATTTAGACAGATGGCAACTGCCCAAAAGAAAACATATCTGGCTCTCTACAGATGGCTCTGATTCAGACTTTGGTAGAGGGGTTGACCGCGGTTACAGAATCATAAATAGTTAGGGTTGGAAAGGACCTTAAGATACCTTACAGCTCAGTGAAAAGCATTTCTGGACACTTTGTGGTCACCTTTTCTTAGTGAGAACCACCATCCACCAACACTGTTCCCCATGCTCGAGTGGCAGAGTGAGGAGACCCACATCAAGCTCTGAAGGGGGGGACCGCAAGCCTGAAGCTGGTGGAAAAGTTACAGCATTGGTGTGGGAAGGAAACAAAAAACAACACCAAAAAAAACCCAAACAAAAAAAATTAAACAGATAGCTTTATCCTGTTTGTTAATGTTTATTACAGTTTTTGATATACTTTGACACGACACAGGTCAGCAGAGAGACAGGGTCCTGGCTTTGCATGCTCACAGGAAGGCATCTTGTCAAGCAAGGCAGGATGGGAAGAAAGATGCAGTGGCCAAGGCAGGTCCTCACCTCGTGCACCCACCTGCCATAGCTCCAGAGCCTGACTTCACATGCCTGGTTGTGGTTCAGCTGGTGGAAGGCCACCTTTGGGGTGGCCCAGCCATAAAGGGGCTGATGTTCTCCTGTTCAAAGCCATAAAGGATCATCTTGGGGCTTGCTGTCAAGCTTTCTTCATGGGGGCAAAACAAGGGGCTGCAGAAACCCCCAAGAGCATCTTGTTGTGTCTGGGGTATTTATTTTTCTTTTTTCCTTAAGGTTCTGTTAATGTCTTGCTGGAGCAGTGAGATCAGTTGCAAGGTAGAGGATTATCCAGTGCCTTTTCCTTGCATGTCACCAGTTTTTGCAGTGTCTTCAAGTCTGGGGAAGTGAAAGGCACAAGGAAGCCAAAAACACTAAATTAACAGCAACTGCTTGTCAGGAGAAAGTGTCCCTCGATGGTTAAATTAGTACAGCTTTCCCCAGTTAGGCATCCTGCTCCTTCTCCAAGGCATTACATACAGACATCAGGTTGCTCTCTCAGATGCTAAAACCTGTGCAAGATAAATGGCTGGCCTGTTCCAATAAGGCAATCCCAAAGGCTGCCAGGTACTGCTGGTTTCACTCCAGTCCCTGCAGGACACACAAATGCAGGGCAGCCAGCTTCCTCTTGGCCAGCCCAGCCCAGAGGGCAGGTGCTGAAGGAGTCACACAAGGCACATCTCCATCTTCATCCCAGATGGCCATGATGCTCCACATGCCACAGTAAATTCCCAGACAAAAGGTCTTAACTCCTGCCATTCAAACCGCTTCACTCTCTGGGATGTGGTGTGCCATGTCAACACAGCAGGACACGTGGGTTTAGGAAGTAAAGCATATTTTCCTCACTCGACATTTGCATACATCAGTATCTGTCAGGCTCAGCACATGGCTCTGGAGCTCTTCATCCATTGGCAAAACTCAGCCGTGTACAGCTGCATTGCCTCCCTGTTATTGTTGGTGTGCACAGTCCTCCACTGCAGCTCTGCCAAAGCAAGCTGGCCCTGCAGTACCCTCTGCTGTTTTGCTGCTGACATGTCCCAGGAGGCAATTTTCACTGCCCAGTTGTCTTTGTTAAGGAGTAGGAACATGAACCCATTTCCTATCCGCTCCTATAAAGGAGGGAAGCAAAGAAAACAAGCTTTGTCCTCTTCAAAACCTCTTCCCTGGGAACCACCTCCATTCTCACATGCCAGCGATTCCTCTGCCAGGGAGTGGAAAGTAGTCATGCACCCTTGGGTGGGCTGAAATGCTGAAAACCATCAGTCACATATGCCTTCCCATATCCCCTGGTCAGCGATGCAGTGAAAGAGGTGTCTTTGAGTGGTACCTAATTGGAGGTAAAGGCCAGCAGGGGAGGAAGATGTTATTGCCCACCATCCCCATCCAGAACATTTATGTGTGGTGGAAATAAGAGAGGAGGTACCAGTCTGGGGGACATCTTAGCTTGTCATCAAAGAGCCCAGCCGCTCTGTCACAAAGCAGCCATCAGTTACCAGGGCCACAGAAAACAGCAAGAAGAGAGATTTCCCTTCTGACAATTTAAAGTGAGGAGTGGGGAAAAAAAGTCAACCTGATCTCAGAGAAAGTGATCAAGTTGCTATCAGGTTAAAAACAACAGCAAGAGCAGCTTTAATGTTCAAGTAGAAGAAAAAGCCAGGAGGAGCATGGACAGTCAGCTCCATTAAGACAAAGCTCTTTAGGGAACACAGTTATAAACGGCTTCAGCAATGTTCGGTCTCAGCAAGACAAGCTGAAAAGCTGCTTTTTGTAGGGGATCCCTTTAATATTTTCTTGCTTGAAGTTACACGTCTACCATGCAGGAGAAGGTCTTTCAGAGGAGGAGGGAAGCTAGAAGTGGTAATGCATATGAGTTATCCCCAGGCACCTGTTACCGTTTTACTTTGCCGTTATATCAAGTGACCGGTTGATTTATACCATCCTGAAATCATATCCTGATTTTCCAAGGAGCCAGGGAGAAAGATACGCACCACTAAGAGCTGGCAGTGCACCAGCCCTAGTGTTCTCTTCTGGAGGACACTGGCAACGGGCCATGCGACGGGCCACTGCATGCGTGCTACCGCACACTCCACCTTGTCAGGGCACGGAACTCAAGACTCCCTAGACTTCTTCTGTGGTTACAGGAGAAGAGCTGCTGTGGAGGACAAGTCAGAGCAGAAGCTTCTTCTTACCCCTGATACAGAGATGCTCACCTCTTCTGCCTAAAGTTATCCCATAACACCCGTGGAGTAACATATTTGCTCGTCATTCAGACACTTTGACACAAAACAACAATTCACATTAGAATTGCTTTCACATGGCCGACTAAAACCCAGCAGTGGCTTCCATCCCTCACTCCACACTGAAGGCCAGGCCAAACTCTCTCTCTGCTCCAGCTAGAGACAAATGAACAGGCTCCATACTTCTGAAGTACAAGGTGTACCTGCCACCATCACAGTACCTCAGAACACTAAAATCTCAAGTTACTTTTGTCCTGCAAACACCCATAGAAGTCAGGAGAAACTATAAAACCTACTATTTGTCTACAAATGAAATGTTGTAGACTAGCTCAGGGACAGCAGGACTGCACTTTGCTTAAGGATAGGAAGAGAAGATGACCCTACAAAGCTGGACAGCAGGGAAAGTAGAGAGAAATAGGGTGTACCAGAAGGTTGCTAGGGCTCAGCATTTCTCTCAGGTGAAGGATGCCATGGCGTTTTCAGGGATTTCAAGCTAGGAGGATGTCAGAGTCACAGAACAAGGTGGTTTGAATGCAAGCAGGTCCGCAGCAGCCTCCATTCAAGTTTCAAGGACAGAATGCAACATTCTCCAATGACCTTCATCAAGAGCTGCTGCCCACAGCACTAATGCAAAACAGCAATAC